AGCAGTATTTTTGTTGTTAAGACAAAATATATAATTTCTACTGACTTCCAGTGCAACTGTAAGCTTACAGGCTTTTTCTTTCCATGTTTATTTTAAACTTTTTCTATGGGAAATTTTTTACTTCGATTCACCTCAACACTTTTCTTTTAGGTATTAGCCATGGTTGCTGGGAAATGCTCTCACCTTCTTGTAGGGTTTTTTTTTTGTTTGTTTGTTTTGTTTTGTTTTCGTTTTCTTTTTCTTTTTGGTTCACAATGTGCATCCATTTAGGACCTGCCATCAAATTGCTGATTTCCCATTAATAATGTGTATTCAGCTAAGGAGCTGCATTAAATGGTCGTGCTTTAAACCCTTTTAAAAGCAATCCTGTTTGTGTGGCTAACCTACCAAATCAATACTTGGTTAATGTGATTTGCTTAATTATGCCTTCACATTTTAAAAATTGCTTTTTAAGTTAATTTTGTAGTATAATTTAATTTAATAAAATATGTCCATGAATCTAGAGAAAAGGTTGGCAACCAGAGCATACAGGCCCCATCTGGCCTGTGACCAGTTTTTATATGGCCCCTGGGCTAAAATTGGGTTTTATGCCTGTAGTCAACTCTAATATGCACGCATACACATGTACACACACATGTACACACACACACACACACACACACACACACACACGGTCTGCAACAGTGACTATACATGGTTAATAAAACCTAAACTATTTATTATCTGGCCCTTCAAATAACAACAACAAAAAAAAAATCAGTGATCCTTATTTGTGGGTAAAATCTGCAAAATAAGATCTTTTTAAAAAAGGTTTTTAATTTTTTAAATTTGTGTATGTGTATACATGTATCTATATGTATCTGTATGTATCTATGTATGTATACCACATGTGTGCAGGTGCCCAGGGAGGCCAGGCTCCCCTGGAGCTGGAGTTCCAGAAGGCTGTGAGCCGTTGTGGGTGCTGAGAACGGCACCCAGGTCCTCAGCAAGAGCAGTAGTGCTCTTCCTGCTGTTTCAGTTCTCACGGAGCCGTTCCTCCAGCCCCTAGAGAAGCCATCAAATTCTACTGGTAACCCCGTCTCCGCATGCCGTCCCTCCCTTTCTCTACAGGTAATGCATATCAAGGGTGACTTTGAGCTTCAGATCCTCTTGTCTGGTCCTCTGAAGTGCTGACACTGCAGATCTGCTCCACCATACCTGGCTGTTCCTAATGATCCTAACTCTAGCGCACATATCTGCCTATCATTCTCTGCCACATTCTCTCCACCTTTGCTCTGAACATGGAGCCCTAGAGATGGCTTTAGCAAGGCAGGCTCCCTGCTATTGTGATGGGTGCGGCAGTGCCCAGGTCCTCACTGTGCTTCTTGTGGTGTGTGCTGGGCTCGTTCTGGTTCTTCATGGCCTTTGACATAGTGCTGACATCTTGGCACTTTGCCGGTGCAGCTCTATGACCAGCCCTTAGACGGTGGGTGGTGGGTGAGCGGGCTGGGCTGTGGGCTGTGGGCTGTGGGCTGTGGGCTGCAGAATACCAGCCCATCTGTAGTGTTGCTCGGCTCCTCCTCGCCGAGTTTGTGCATTATTGCGAACAGCGTACAGCTGTCCGGCACCTTGACACCACCCAACAAAAGTACTGTCAAACTCTGGGAGTTGGCTCATTTAATAAGCAAGGGCTGACATTTAAGTTTGCTTAAATTGTTCTTGTTATGAGCAAGGTCAAAGCCATTTCCCTGTTGATGAGATGCATCCTCTCACCATCGCCTGTGGAACTCAGGCTTTCTCGTCTTGTCGCAGGCGCTTCTGATGCTGCAGATGGTGACCTTCGCATCTCACACGAGTTAGAAAGCCTCTCCCGCTTGGCTCTCCTTCACTCCTCCTTTATTTATCTGCCTCTTTCCACCTGGGAGTGAGGTGTGTGAGTTACTCTTCCACTTGGTCAGTATCGCTGGCTTTCCTCTCAGCTCTCCAGCTCCAGAGCTGTAGCTGGGAAGTTCCCCGAGGGCTGGTTTATAGATGGAATCTAGCCATGTTGTCTTCTCATATTTATATAGTTCCCTTTCTTTTCTCAGTGTAAAATTGTAGTTGCTTCTTTAAAGTCTGCAGACACTCTGGTCATGTGACTGTCTCCTTTTACCCATGTTACCTTAAATCTTGGAGTCAAGTGCACACATGCTCCAGAGCTGGCATGTATAGACTATCACATTGCACTTGAAGAAGCCCATATGCCTGTTATCAGGGAAATAAAACAATCTGGGAGAAGAGACCTGGGCCAGGGCCAGACCCTTGCTGTAGCAGCTCACACAGTTTGAGAGAGCCAGGGCCCCAAAGAGGCAGACTGTGCCTTTGTCGGCATTGACAGTTCAGTGTAGTCCAGGCTGATTGGCCACAGGGCGTGCAGTTATGGCATGAGCTGTCGTCTACTTTCCCCAAGGCCAGCCTTTGTCAATGGGCCTGTGGTTGCTGGGGGAGCTTCTCCTCCTTGGCTCCATGCCTGGGCTAGGGTGTGCCAGCTGCCAGGGCAATAATCAAGGTTGCCGTAAAACTCCCCAGCCAGTTGCACAAATGATGCATCTGCTCTACGGGACATGTCACAGTGGGAAGGAGAGTCTGTCATGTTCGGTGATGAGCACATTGAAGGCCAGCCTCCTGCCCACAGCTGTGCTTCATTGGCAGGGTTCGTCCATACCACAGTGTGTTTCCCATCCATTGCTCTTATGATGCGCCAATGAACTGGGCTATGTCTGGCCATTCTGAGAAGACGTAGGTAGGCCTTTTGTTCTGGTAAAGTTTTCTTGGGAGGTACAGGTGCGAATATTTCAGTCACGGGTGGCTGGTGGCCCCGGGTATGTCTTCCTGAGAGAAGGCACTCCTGGGATGTTGTCCTGACTCAGCTAACCCAAGGAGACTGCAGGGTGCATGATGTTAAGGCCACGTGTATCCCAAGGCACACATGGTGCCTCCTTACCGCTGTTCTCTATGAACTGGAGGGCTCTGACATGTATTTGCCAGGGATAAGTGTGTGGGCCACTTCCAGAGGTATATCCAGAGATCAACGTTAGGCTAGACCTGTTTCTCACTGTGCATTTAATCTCCATCCTAGGTGTCTGTTGACTGCCTGGCAGCCTGGCCTGCAGCTGATGGGGAGAGGCAGAAGGGGGAGCGGATGTATGTGATCTAACATACCCATGGAGTTGCCAAGTGACACATGAGAAGGGCTTTAGGGTGGTGGGATTGAACTACTTAGGGCAGCGGTTTTCAACCTGTGCATTTCAACCCCTTTGGGGGTTAAACGACTCTTTCACAGGGGTCACCTGAGACCATGGGAAAACACAGATGTTTACATTACAATTCATAACAGTCGCAACATTACAGTTATGAAGTAGCAACAAAAATAATTTTATGATCAGAGACCACCACAGCATGAGGAGCTGTATTAAAGGGCCGCAGCGTTAGGAACGTTGAGACCCTCTAGGGCTTAGGACCTAAGCAGTGCCAGGGAAGAGGCTCCCAGAGCCAAGGTGAGCCCTCTCTCTGCTCCAGACCCCTCTGCCCACCAGCAAACCGCAACAGCTGCAGTGGCCAGCTCTGCCCGTGAGCACTGGATGTTGTGTGAACTTGTCTGAGCAGGTACTGGGGGCTGATATGTTCTGTACTCTCCCGGGTCCTAGGTGCTGTCTCAGCTTCTGACCTGTCTGTGGTGTATCTCAGCAGCAGTGTGAACCCTGACTGCCTGGACTTCTTCCCTGCTACCCTATGAAGCTGTGTCTTTGAATCCTGGGGATGGGGGATGGCATGCAAGACAGCAGTCAGCTCCTGTTGTCCGAGAAGCTGCTACAAGCACATCTTAACCTTCATGGGTCTGCAGGGCTGGCCTCTCTCTTAGTAAAACTCTGCTTGTAAAGAGGCCAAGTTGTTTGTTGCCCATGTCTGTCCCTAGGAACTTACAGAAGCAGGAACTGGCCAGCGGGTTACCCAGTCGTGGGCCCCAGGGGAGCGGCTGGAATGGGAGAAGCTTGGCCTCACCTGCTTGTGTGACTGCTGCTCATTTGGTAGCCAGAGGAGCAGATGGCCTGAGAACTGTGATTCTGGTGTAGCCACACGGCAGTGCCCAGGGAGCTAATGACTCCATGGCCAGTCCTAGGGGCAGCTGGAGTCCTGTCTGTGCGTCCAGTTCAGACAGCAGTGGGTGGTCTTCTCAGTATTGTAGTTGGCACCATGCCACCTGAGAGCCCATTCAACATAGATGCTTTGTTTGAGTCTTTGTACTGGGTCCCAGAACATAAAGCATGTCTATAAAAGTAAAATAAATTCTGCCTGGAAGTGGTGGCGTGCACCTTTAATCCCAACACTTGGGAGGCAGAGACAGGCAGATCTCTGAGTTTGAGGCCAGCCTGGTCTACAGAGCAAGTTTCAGAAAACAAACAAACAAACAAACAGTAAAATACATTCCGAGACTTGAGATTCTGATGTAATTTTCTGTCTCCAAGAATGCTTGCTCCCTGTGTCATCCTTACTTACCCAGGGACAGTAAGTAGTCTAGGCTTTGTAGCTGTCTGTGAGCTGTATGACACCTTCAGGCCCTTTCAGAAATATAACACCATTATCACTGGATGTCACTCTTCCCTTCTGCACCTAGGGCAAGGTGGGAACCCTGTACCTAATGTGCCCTTATTGTATACAGCTGCTGCTGAGGGACCCTGCCATCCCAGGAAACCGCTGCATCTCACTGGACCCACCCATGTACTGATAGAGGCGGGGTGGGCATAACCAGCAGTCGCCTTGCATCTGGGAGTCCAGTCGCTCCAAAGAGCAATAGGCATTGTCCTGGTGAAGTTGGAAAACCCTGTGTTTCCAAGTTGGAAAGCACATGAAACCACATGTGTGCATGGCCTAGTATATTTTTATTGATCCTGCCCATGCCCGGTACTTGGTAACTCTGTTTGACTCTCCCTGTGTGGGCATGCTCCCAGGCCCACCATGGTGACCAGTGCTCGTTCTTGTAGGTGGTGAGAGGCTATAAGGCAACCATCCAGCAGACCCTGGACATCCTCTTCCTCCAAGAAGGGTCTGAGTTCCTGAGCAGCACTGATGCATCCACTCGAGACTCAGCTGACCGAACCATTATTGCCTGGGATTTCCGGACTGCTGCCAAAATATCGAACCAAATTTTCCATGTGAGAAGCCCTGTGTAGAATTGTTCTTGGTGTCAACAGTGGGGGATATTCCTGTAGCCCTGGGCTGGGGTCGGGGGCCCCTCTCTGTCTGGGGGAGGAGGAGATCAGCTATTTGAAATATCTAGGACAGAGGTAGGCATAGGTCAGGCCCAGGTCTGCACACAGTGATAGCCTCTGTAGACTGCCCTTTCTGGTTCAGCCACCCTAATACTCACCTCATAGAGTACCAAGAACTACAGGAAGAAAATGCTTATAAAGATCTAGCACAGTGTCGGGCACAGAGACTCCTCCATAACAGTTGTGACCAACCCAACACCATCATTACTGCCAATATCATCATTGCTGTGATCACCCTGCCACCACCACCTTTATCACCAATATTACCGTCACCATCATTATCATGTCTGTGGTCACTGCCATCCCCACATTGTCATGATCAGCATCACCTTCTCTGCCGCCACCACCATTACTGTCACTATAATCATTACCTCCACAACCATCACTACTACCACCACCACCATCCCCGATCACCACCATCACCACCACCATCTCCACCACCATCCCTGACCACCACCACCACCACCATCTCCACCACCATCACTGACCACCATCACCATCTCCACCACTGTCACCACATCCACCATCACTGCCATCTCGCCATCACCATTGTGGTGGTCACCACCATCACCACCTGTGCTCACATTACCGTCTTTTGGTGACGGTAAACTATTCCCGATCTCTTGAGTGCATACCTTTAATCTCAGCACTCAGGAGGCAGAAGCAGGCCAATCTTCTTGAGTTTGGGACCAGCCTGGTCTAGACATTAAGTTCCAGGACAGCCAGGGCTACAAAGTGAGACCTTCTTCAGCATCTTGCAGAAGGGGCAGTGTGTTAACATAGTGAGCTTCGCTTTAGCTCCACAGAGCAGCAGGATAGGGCAGTTGCCTTGTTTTCAAGCTCTGAGTGTATATAACTTGACATAACAACAGCAACCTACACAGACGCCTAAGTCAAGGCCCAGGAGAAAGGGACAAAACCCCAAGAGCAGAGTGCAGGCTAGGTAGGTGGCGATCTGTGGGAGGCAGAAACCCCACGGTGGTAGCCTTCATCCCTCTGTGGTCCTGTCTTCTCAGGAGAGGTACACCTGCCCCAGCCTCGCCTTGCATCCGAGGGAACCGGTCTTCCTGGCACAAACCAATGGCAACTACCTGGCTCTCTTCTCCTCTGTGTGGCCCTATCGGATGAGCAGACGGCGGCGCTATGAAGGGCACAAGGTACCCCCATCTTTGTTACCTAGGTCAAATGCTGACCATTGGCCCCAAGACTTCCAGCCAGGTATCACCAGGACTCCAGGGCATGTAGACCCTCTGGGCACTCTGCTGCTGAAGTGAATGACTTCTGGCTGTGTGAATGAGGGTCCACTCAGGGTCCAGGCCACATGCCCAGCCACAGGCAGGAGAGCATGTCAGTTCACATATGGTGGGGTGGGGACAGGAACAGGGTAGGACAGACTTGGGAGCCGTTTTTCTGTGTGCCCCTTTCCTGCCTGAGGCCCACTTTGCTGGCCTGGAAGAGGCTGGGAATTCACTTAGTACTTGGTGTCAAACCCCAGCTCTGTAGAAGCTGCTGTATCTGGGTTCCATTACCAGGATATTGTTAGATGTCATCTATGAAGTTCACACTTGAATGCTGTGCAATTGAGCTACAATAAAACAAAATGCAGATACTGTTTTAAGTAAGTTTGTAATTTGTGTTGGGCATTCATGTTCTGGAGACCTGCAGCCCATGGGCCACAGACTTGACATGACTGTTGGGACTAGTGACCCTGGGATACAGGTCACCTCACCAACCTGTAGGCTTATAGCAGGAGCTCAGCCTTTGGCCTCAAGATCACTAGGTGTAGTGTGGGATCATAGCTGCCACCTCACAGGTTGCCTTCTCTGTCTTTCTCCACAGGTGGAAGGCTACGCTGTGGGCTGCGAGTGCTCCCCATGTGGTGACCTGCTGGTGACAGGCAGCGCCGATGGCCGGGTTCTGATGTTCAGCTTCCGCACTGCCAGCCGGGCGTGTACGCTACAAGGGCATGCTCAGGCCTGCCTTGGCACCACCTACCACCCCGTGCTGCCTTCTGTCCTTGGCACCTGCTCCTGGGGAGGAGACATCAAGATCTGGCACTAACTGGCAGCTGAGACCCTGCCCCTGGGTCTCTGAAGTTGACTGGAGGTTAGGCAAGTGCAGGGGCTGCCCCCACACTGGGCCTCAGTGACTTGTCTGTAAAAGGAGGGTGAGAAGTGTCTCAGGATGTAAGGGCTGCATTAGTAAAGGCATTTGCCAAATGGCTGGTGATGCCCAACCAATCAGTGTGTACTCTGTAGTTTTTCTTAATGTGATTTGGAAATAAACACATAGCTGCTTCCTGTTGCCATCCTACGGCAGGTAAGGGAGCTGGAGATGGGACTGTCTGCTGGTCCTGAGAGTGTTATCCTCAGAACAGTGGGTCTCCGGGTCTTCCAGCTGCTCAGGAACTCTGTGCAGGAGCTCCACAGGGCCCTGCCACTCACCTGCACTTACTAGACACCAAAGCTGTGTATCTACTCCTCTCTGGTCACCTCTCTGGTCCTCTACCCTGCTGCTTGCCTGCTGCCAAGGTGGGTGGTCTGTGCTGGCCACAGCCGTGTGTCTGTCCTGGAAGGGGAGATGAGGAGATGCAGGGTCCCAGAAGCCACTTCAGGGACTGACTGGGCTGGGTGAGGAAATGTGGTGGTTTGTGTAAGAAACTCCCAAGGGCTCATGTATTTGACACTTAGTCACCAGGGAGTGAAACTGCTTGAAGGGATTAGAAGGATTAGGAGGTGTGGCCTTGTTGGAGGATGGGTGTCGCTGGGGATGGACTTTGAGATTTCAAAAGTCCATGCTAGAACCAGTCTTTTCCCCTTCTCTTCCCTCTCTCTCTCTCTCTCTCTGCCTTCAGATCAGGATATAGAACTCTCAGCTACTGTTCCAGAACCATGTCTGCTTGCATGTTTCCATGCTTTCTGCCCTGTTGACAATGGACTAAATAAATCTTTGAAACTGTCAGCAAGCCCCAATTAAATGCTTTCTTTTGTAAGAATTGCCTTGGTCATGGTTTCTGTTTACAGCAATAGAACAGTGACTTAGACAGGAAGCCTAGCTTCCTGGGAAGGCCCATGAATCTCAAACACTACTAGAATTGTAACTGAGAGACTGCCTGACGGCCTGGGACTCACAGGATGTGGTGAGGGAGGACGGGAGAGGGCCTGGGACTTGACAGAGTACTTACAGCTTCACACCTTACTCCGTTCTACAGTCTAGTCCCAGGCAAGGCCTGTCTCCTTCCCTCGGTGCCCCAGTTCCTCACCTGTGAGGCCAGAAGTCAGGAGAGCTGCCTGCAGATGTGTTGGGGAGCTGGAAGAATGTTGGGCATAGTGAGCCCAAGTCTAAGGCCAGCCTGGCTCAGGGATGCTGTGTAAGGACATTTGTTCCAGTGTCCAAGGCATTGAGGGGCCATTCCCACCAGGGTAAAGCAAGTCAGAGCCCTGCGCTGGGGCTCATCTTAAAGCCCCTATGTCCTTGCTGCCGCAATAGGTCAGTTCAGGTTTCCTCTCCCCAAGCTGATGGCCACTGCCTCTGTGCTTGGGTGCCTCAGGGCCATTGGACCCACCATCGTGGCCTAGGTACTGTCCTTCCCCCATAAGCATGCCCTCTTCCTTATTCAGGGAACTGCAGGGAAACAACAAAATTGCCTTGCTCAAGCACCGGGTTCCACCCTGTGCTGTCCTGTGTGACTGACATCAGGTATGGAGTAAGCTCTCTGGGCGGAGCTTTGTGTCCCGCTGTGTCCCTGGCATATAAGCATGCAATGAATAACTGCTACGTAGCCTGTCAGGACCAAACTTTAGGGCCAGTCAGACCCAGATTTGAAGTCTGCCCTGTGTTTCCTTCATTACTATGGGACCTTAGGGGATCTGTGTGGTCATTCAGTGTCTCAGTTTCCCCTCCTAAAGAGCAGCATAGGGCCTGTGTGCAGTGGGCGCTCAGGATACTCGCGTCTGTGTCTGTTCAGTGGATACCAGGGCCAGGTTCCATTCTAAGGCTCTGCAGTGGTAGGCCAAGGGCTGGTGGGACCCTCTCCCACTGCTGCTGTCCCTCTTGTTTTCAGGGCCTTAGCAAGGTCCAGATTTAATCCTGGTGAAGGATACTGGCAGGAGGCTGCTTCCTTCCTTCCCACATGATGAACTCTTGGGAGCTTTAGATCAGCTGGCTTCTGTCTCGAGCCCTGCTGGACTAGGACTCCTTGCCCAGGCGGATGGGGTGCTGTGCTCAGTAGCTCCCAGCATGAGCCAGAGGACTGGTGTGCTCCACCAAGACCTCAGGGCCCCTGAGGGTGTCTTCATGAGTGTCTCCCTGAATGAACTAAAACGTGGTAGGCCCAGCCTCCTCCAGCCTCCTCCAGGGGCCTCGCCCAGTGCTGCCCCCAACCTTCCCCAGCCTCCCCCAGTGTTCTCCCCAGCCTCCTCAGCCTCTCCCAGTGCTCCCCAGCCTCTCCCAGTGCTGCCCAGCCTCTCCCAGTGCTCTCCCCAGCCTTCCCAGCCTCTCGCAGTGCTCCCCAGCCTCTCCCAGTGCTCCCCCAGCCTCTCCTACTGCTCCCCTAGCCTTCCCCAGTCTCTCCCAGTGCTCCCCCAGCCTCTCCTAGTGTTCCTCTAGTCTCCCCCAGCCTCTCCCAGTGCTCTCCAGCCTCTTCCAATGCTCCCCAGCCTCTCCCAGTGCTCTCCTCCAGCCTCTCTGAGTGCTCCCTCCAGCCTCTCCCAATGCTCTCCCCAGCCTCTCCCAGCCTCCTCCAGCCTTTCCCAGTGTTCTCCCCAGCCTCCCCCAGCCTCCAGCCTCTCCCAGTGCTCTCCCAACCTCCCCCTGCCTCTCCCCAGTCTCCCCCAGCCTCCCCCAGCCTCCTCCAGCCTCTCTCTCAGTGCTCTCCACCTGGGCAGCTGTCATCCCCAAGTTTCTCTCTTCCCCAGGGTTATCTTACGGTCACTGTCCCCACTGCAGTGTTGGCGACATCACAGATTGGCTCTGGTCCTCCGGCTTTTCCAGGAGGGCTAGCAGTTGGTTTTAGAGGGCTTCCTTGTCTACCTCAGTGCCCAGCCCCCTCCAGTGCACTCTGATCATGGTGCCCTGATCAGACTCTGGGCCCGCCCCCTAATGCTGTGGGATTTGGCTTCTCTGACCCTCTGCTTTCTCAGGTACACAGTGGGCCTGTTGGGACAGAGGGGAGAGGAAAGAGTTCTATAGTCTGTAGACTGTCCCCCTGTTGGTGTCACTAGGACAGGCAGACAGCATCTGAGTCCTCCATGCTCTGACTCAGGTCCAGGGGACCAGTGAGGGTCTCCAGGAGTCCCATTGTGGTTATTTCCTGGTGCCATTCCAAGTGTTTGCTTTTTCCCTGTCGATGCTGGTGCCCCGTGCCTCTGGGCAGGAGGGCAGGTGGGTCCCCTGCTTCCCCTTCTTTCTTCAAATGTCTTCTTCCAAAGAACACTCAGAAAGATTGACTTTGATCCCAGCTGAGGTGTCGGGAGTTCACCATTTGCAATTTAAAAATAGGAAAGCTAAATTTGGAAAGCGCAGAGCAGGATGAACCTGGAGTGTGGGTTCTCCCTCCACCTACCCTCCTGGGCCCAACTCACCCCATCCCACTTTTGCATCTGTAACCTGCAACATGAGATCAGAGGTGCCCAGGGAGGAAAGCGGCCCTGTCTAGAGAGACCTCCACAGGCTGTATCTGCTGCTGGCTTGTCCACCGAGTCAGGTTGTGGCTGTCATCTGAGTGTCACTAGCATGCCGCCCCCCCCCCCCCGCAGCATGGCCATGCCCCCTGGTGTCCTACTGAGGAAGCTTCTGTTCCAGGGGCACAAAGACATGCTGGGACCACCCATCTCTGAAGCCTGTACCCTTGACTCATTTTACTGCCTCCCCAAATGGTTCTCTATATTCTCCCAACCCAGCTCGACTCCATACAGAGTGTGCCGACTGTCTAGAAGGCCCCTGGAAAGGACCAGTGTCCTCAGGCTACAGAAGGGGAAAGTGAGACCTCCCTCTGGTGATAACCAACCAATGGGAGCATAGTCACGTACTGACTGCCCTTGGGGTTCGAACAGGGGTGGGCATGAAAAGTTTGCAGGGGTTGAGCACACAGATGGGCATCACTGAAGACTAGGCAGGTCTGAGTGGACTCCAGAGAGGGTGACCTGTGGATGAGGGGGCCCCTATTGGGACTCACCTGGCAGCCTGGGTGTATGAGTAGTGTTGGGAGCAACTGTTCTCTATGGCATAGGCACAGAGCATCTAGAACTACTAGTTCCAGGGCTGAGCCTGCCAGGGAGGCATCTGGGAACTGCAGGGGATGGGTGGGATGAAATAGTTGTCAACAGGAAAGGCCCACGTGTCGACAGGAAGCAGATAAAAAGCCCGTCTCTTCTTCAGGAAGGAGCCACCATCCTAGACTTTGTAGAAAACCCCACAACGCATTTCCAAGGGTTGAATGAATATGTGTCAGATAACCAGGCACACAAACAGGGCAACATGGACAGGAAGCAAAGACAGACCCACAGAGTCTATGTAGTAGAAGTGCCAGACCCTGACTTTGGGATGGCCACTGGCTTTACAGAAATAAGGGGTGAGCTTGAAAGGAACTCTGGGGAACAGGAAGCTGGAGGAGAGCACAGAGCCTCCATACCAACTGAACGGTACCTGGACATGGCAGGGATTAGCAGCTGGAATGGGAACTCGGTGCCTCTGGCAGTTGAGAGGACACAGGAGTGCATGAGCTACAAGGTAAACTGTGCAGACCCCTGCAGCGTGAGTCAAAAGGAGGGATACACACAGTGCCACCAGAGGACCGAGTTGGAGGCTCTGCCAAAAAGAGGGAGATGGGGGATGGGCAGAAGATTTTTTTAAAGAATGATGTAGGGTTTTCTAGAACTGATGAACCCTGAGAGTCCTAAGGAGGAACCCCACACAGTCACACCCTAGGGAAACCACAGCCAAGTCAAAGAGAAGGCTGTGTCCAGCTAGAGAGAGCGAGACATAACCAAAATAGGAGCTCCACGTTTTCCCAAGAAGCCAGGAGCTGAGGGAAGCAGGGATCGCTAGCATCAGGGCGGCTGTCAAGACATTTCAGGACAGAAGAGGGGACCTTGTCTCCAGGAGAGCCACAGCAGGTGAAGGCAACCCTGGAGAGGCTGCCTCAGAAGGAGGCCATCTAGGGGAGCAGGAAGGAGCTGAGAGTGCTGGGGACAACACCAGGGGACACGGAAATCCTGAGCTGGCCAGTTGACAGGGCAAG